AATCTGGCCCCTGATCCTGCTTGCTCATTGGTCCTCAGAGTCCCTTACCTCTTGGAGCCTCAGCGTCCTCCCCTGCAAAAGAACATAAGGACAGCATCTGCCCTTCACTCTCAAGGGTGCTCTGGTGAAGGCCAAGATCCAGGCTCATAAAGGCAGCAATGGCTCTAAGGCTTCTGTCACTGCAGATTCACCGTGTGAGCCCCACACAGCATAATGGGCCAAGGGAACAGAACTCTGATGCCAACATCCCTAGAGGAGAGCCAGCTCACTGTGTGTGTGTGTGTGTGTGTGTGTGTGTGTACATGCGTGTGCATGTGTGTGTGTAGTCCTAGGTTGTGAACCCACTGAGCTACATCCCCAGTTTGTTTTTTTTTTGTTTTTTTTTTTTTGAGACAAGATCACTTTAAATTTCAGAATGCAGAAAAGAAGGGAAAAGAAAGAAAAAAGAAACAAAGAAAAATATGATAGTTAAGATAGTTATGCTACTAATTTATCTTAGTTCATTGAAAACAAAAGTTTTTGCTAATATTGTTTGGAAAATTAAATGCTAATATCTTGTATTTTGAGTACTTTTTTTTTTTTTTTCAGAACCGGGGATTGAACTCAGGCCCTTGTGCTTGCCAGGGAAGTGCTTATTCCACTGAGCCATCTCCCTGGCCCCTTGAGTACTTTTTTTTTTTTTTTTAATTTGTGTGTGTGTGTGTGTGTGTGTGGCCACCTCAGCCCACCAGGGGGCGGGGCTGGCTGGCATGTGGTGCTGGGGGATTGAACCGTGGTCCCTGTGCTTTGCTAAGCTTGTTCTAAGTAGGTGCTTTAGACCACTGAGCCATCTCACCAGCCCTTGAGTACTTTTTAAAAAATTTTTAAACAATATTTATTTGGGAGAGACAGAGACAGAGAGAAACAGAGAAAGAGACCGAGCATACGCAGAGCTCCAACTCCACCAGAACCCAAAGCCTGAGCCTGTGAGCGGAGCTACAGGCTCAAGAAAAGGAAGTAGAGAGAGGATGGGTGGAAAGTCGGTACTGTGAAAGGAAAACCATATATAACATCTATAGAAACATGAGAAAAACACTCACCAAAATGAGAAGTTATTGAAAATTTCAGGAAATTATGAAGCTATAGTAGTATGTTCTCATTCACAGTTGAAATAATTCCTCCTCCATCTCTAATTGCTCCTCCATGATATGACCTTGGTGATTTTCCTCAAAAACATTGGACGTGACTTCTACGCCAGCTCAACCTTGTCTTAGCTATGTGAGGTACTTGGCCAATAGCACTGCAAATGACTCAGATGGTGACTTGGCTAAAGCTTACAAATTGGAGCCTTCATTCTTGCTAGAGAGATGTGTTCTATCGTTGTTGGAAAAATTGGGCAGTCCATTGGAAGATGGAAGACTACCTGAAGCAGGATGATCCATGCCAGGAGAAATCCCTTACACCATCTCCCAGCCAAGTTTTACCGTAATCTGCAAGGAATCTGCAATGAGAGAATTTCAGCAAATATAGCACTAGATAAAGCACAAAATATTGCTGTCAAATGATTGGCTTCAGCACCTCACTTTCCCAGCCTACCACCTGTTGATGGAGCTCCAGGTCCTGAGAATCATCAGGTTTGCCTCTGAGCAGTATCTGGACTTCCTCAGTTGAGAAGTGCTGACCTCAAACTTATTCAATGGTCTAGACCGACTGAAAGGGTGTAATGAAATGAAATTTCATTCCTGGGATCATGAACTTCTCAAAAGAAGAATTCTGGATGGGATGGAGAAAACTGCATATACATAAGATCCTGGACTTGAAGTGACAATAATAAAAGAGGAGGATGTGGGGGCTTGTGAAAGAAGACAGCAATTATTGTGTACATGTGTGTCATTCTCTATATAAGGTGGGCACAGAAATGGACATTGTGCATCTAGAGAGAGGTGCTTATAGTCATTGATTGTTGTTGTACCCCCATTAATTGTTCACTGTGTTTGTCATGAC